CCCCAAAACCCCAAAACCCCAAAACCCCTTATTTTATAGAATATTTTGAAATTAATTGATTATTTTTACCACAAACTTGCTAGAAAATGTGAAACACAAGATTTCGTAAGCTGAATGTTATATTAAATTATGTTGGTTATGATTTATCAATTAATCGAGATAAGAATCTGAATCTTCCCAGCTTGATTCTTCAGAATTTTCATTGCTTTTCTCATCTCCACTACTACTTTCATTATCACTACTGCTCTCATTACCATTACTGCTCTCATCACCATTACTGCTCTCATCACCATTACTGGTTTCATCATCATTACTGGTTTCAACATTATTACTACTTTCGTTATCATCACTGTGATCATCCCCACTACTGTGATAAATCTCACTACTGTAATCATCACTACTGCTGTAGTCATTCTCACTACTATTATTATCATCGTCTTCATCATTTCCTTTATCTTTTTCATATCCCTCAGGAGCTTCAACTCCCTCAACACAATATTCATAAGCATAATTGATCTTGGTGGCATCAGGATCACCTCCTAAAGAGCAAATATACATGGACTTTCCTGGAGGTACTACTCTAATGGCTACACCACTAGTTGGGAGAAACAACAAATTTTTAGAGTTTCCAAATTTGATAGTAACTTTATTTGAACTCATCGGAGGTATTTTCAAACAAGAATGACCGACTGGGAATGTTCGGATGGGAGTGGATAAATAAGTTGAAATCAGTATTAATTTTTATTTTATCTGCAACGTTTTCCTTTTCTCCAACTTGATCTAGAAAATGTTCCCAAGCAGTTTTATGGAAATTACTATCCAAAATATCATGAATATCTACAACAATAGGGTGATCCTCTGCTTGGAAGGAGAGCATGAATACTCTGGACTTAGTAGAGTGTAAGGATTTATCGTATCCTAATTTGTGTAAGATTCCCATAATTTTATGATCATCAAAGTTTCTGAAAAGAAGTTGCTTAAAACCAAGTAAAGAAACTCCTCCATGGTTTCAGCTAACATCAGCAAATATCTGAGTTGCAAAATCTTCCTGTTTAATTTTCATGAAAAATGGGTCTTGGATGATTCTACCAAATTGATTCAATTCATCAGCCGATAACAAACCATCAACAGCCAGATCCAGCTTTCTGAAAATATCATTAAGAGTAGAAGAGAAATATGGATGAGGAATTGCAGTATCCTCAAATTCAATTTTTGGTGGAATTGGTGTATTTGAAGCTTTCAAAGTTTTCTGCATCAACGCTCCTGAAGTCAATGGGACCACAGCATATTTTCCTTCCTCAAAAGTAAACTTTTTAAAGAATTCTCTTTCTTTAGAGAATTCACAATAGTCGTAAAAGGAAGGATCTTCATCTTCTTCGTATTTGTAAATTACGAATCCTCAATCCATATTTCTTCTCAGATGCGCTCCTATTATTCTTTCATCTTCCTGGTGCAATCCAATATGCACAGATGTCTCATCTTCTTCAATGTTTAATGTATATTAATAAAATTTGCTCAAAGCAAATTCATGTGATTCATCTTTTGATTTAACTTTAAGAAATTTTCCTTTAAATCTTATCTCATCATAGTTCTGAATTTTTCAGATTGCGATATCATTAAACTTCATCATAAAGTCTTCCAAGCACATCCAAAAGGACCCATCATTAGCACCAAGAATAGGGTCAAACTCTTCTTTCATTTCTTCTGTCCATTCTTCAGATTCATTTCCCCATGCACCATTCCATTCAAATTCTCCCCAAGGATTTCTGATATTCAGCAGTTTAACCCCTAACCCTTCTCTGACTCGGATGATACTGTAAACATGTCCTGAGACAAGACCTTCCTCAACTTCAGGACTTTCATCTTCAGTGCTTTCATCAACTCCATGTGTACTTGTACAGATCAGATGCCCCTTTTGAGCAGCTTCGAGCAATTTTTCATAGATCTCTTCAGCTTCTTCTTCAATATCTTCATAGTCTTCTTTCTCTTTTGGGAACGAAATATGTTCAGTGGGACATCCACTAAGATCAGCCAAGGAATGTTGTGCACTCCCAGATGTGAGAGCATGATAACTTCCATGAATTTTAGCATAAGCCTTTTCAACAAGCATCACCCAAAGCTCGTTTCCTACTCCTCTACTAAACATTGGGCCTCCTTTATATCTGCAAGGAATGTAGTCGTCAACAGTGACAGTGACCCATTCTCCGTTTTTGCACATTCTGATTTGGTATATTCCCTCTTTATTGTATTCTTGAGTGACGAAGAGTCTTCTGACCATAGCTGGTCTTTCAGCCAGGGAGGAAAGTGCAGATAAGAACCAGCAGTCTCCAAGAGATCCCTGTCTGATGTCATTTGGATCGATGTCGTCTTCGAACACTACAGGGTTGTTCATGAACTCGTGAGGCCTTCTCCAGTGAACTATAAAGTTAAATGGATACTGATCTTCGACAACATTGTACAAACTAGTGTCTCTGGGAGGAAAGTGAGGGTCAATAAAATTCTCCTGGCCGAGCTTTGCCATTTCGTCTGCTATTTGCTGTTGTGTGAGTACTTCGTAAGGGATTTTCTTAAAATATTTTTCAGAAACTTCAACTTTTTCATTCCATTCAACTTTGAATTGGTCTAAAGCGCTCTTTTGTTCTTCAAATGGGAGTGGAGTTTCAGTCAAACTGAATTTTAATTCGAGAGACCAAGGAAAAGTCTTAGTAATATAGATTTCTTCGCTCCTTTGTTTTGAAGGCACCACTACTGTTTGTGTTGTTTCTCCGGGAGCGTTGTCGAGAGTACAGTTGCTACTATCTCCAATATCAAGAGTAAATTCAGCAATAGATAAGGCTCTGTTGTCAATTGTCCAGACTTCACTTGTCTTATCAAATGTTCTATAGATACGTAGTCCAGATGGATACTTAATTTTTTTTGTAGTAGACATTTTTATAAATATTGAAATAAAAGAAGAAATTTTTAAGTATAAGCAAATGTTACAATTTGTTTATAAGCTGATGGGGTTTTGGGGTTTTGGGGTTTTGGGGTTTTGGGGTGAATATATGTAACG